TTACTTTCACTAGCCAGCGGAGACTCCCCTGGGAGGGGCATGCTCTACAGTGGCAGCCTCCATCTCAACATCAGTTGCAGTTGCTGGTTGGGCGCTTGATGAGGACATGGTGGTAAAGAGACAAGAAGGGATGCGGTTACATTTCACTCCTTCATCCATGCTGAACTCGCGCTTATCATGGCAAACGCTCTCAGACAACTTGACAACGAGAATGATGAGGACAATGGCGATGTCCATGTGGATGGTGACAGTAATGATGATGACAACACCTCGGATGTCGACAACAGCAAAGAGGATACCGACGAGCTCTAGCAGATCATTGGAGTTAGCAAGCGGAGCTGTATGACTTGCACACTTTGGATGCAATCACGCAATCTCGAGAACCTCAAACTGACAAGAGAAGAGAGCTGCAAAGAAAAGCGGACATCTCGTACACAGTGGATGACTGGCAGTTCACATAGCAAACCCTACCCAAACTGAGCATTGCCAAATGTTCAATGTCGCATGAGCGATCTGTTGAATCCAAACCAGCACGATATTCCAGATCACCTGGAAAACTGGGCTGATTTGGATTTAGTGGACAAATTGGACAAATGTTTTTGTGATCATATGGATAATTTCCGTCCCATGCAGTATGAGTCAGATGATTACGTAACAAACACTAGCGACTCAGATTTGGGAAGTCCGTAGTCTCAAATGACATAATATCATTGTATATCAGGCAAACATTGTTACCGTAGTCAGAGTAGGTTATTGATCACCTGTGGGATAAGAATTCACCAACTTCAGGTGGCACAATCGACCCTAAGTGAAAAAGTTCGAGTTATGAGTGCAGGTCACTGTTGCACATTTCGTGGGTTACTTGATGTCAACCAAGCTGCCGGTGTGGCCTCATTAAACGGTTACTTCTCACCAAACAAGACACTGTTCAGTGGATGCATGTTTTATGCACATCCGTTAATTTCATCATGTCTCTAGAGGGATGCCTCGAACATTGAACACATGATGTGAGAGATACCGGATTGTTGTGTGCATTGCTTCTATCACTGCAGCACAACGATTCATGAAGCACATTGGCAATAAAGTGAGGGAAACCACATGAAATCACAATATGTATGTATTCATCACAAAGTTTGTCTGCTGCCTCTTGTGAACGCCCAGAGGTTGGATGTCTTTACATCCTGGAGTATCACCCACATGTTGCAGCTTGAGTCACGGATGGTAGACAGGGAAGCGATAAGCATCGTGCCTCATTGCCATGACTTTTTAACTTTTCAAACACAGGAGTGGCACACAAGATGATTGAATCATCATGAATGCAGAACTTTTTTTCAACTCTGAATCAGTGGTGATGCAAATGATGTAAGATATCAAATCGTGGAGCACTTTACACCTATGTGAGGTTGTAAAATGGTGGAAGAGAACTGCGAGATCAATAGGAGGAAATGAGCAGATCTAGGAACGGTGAGCTTGGGAATATGTCGCACATTACATGCTAGAATTAGATCGATGCGCAAACGCATCACAGCCCATCACATCGCAAATAGACACCCCTCTTGATATGAGAAAGTGCAGCCACAGATCAGCCCAGCTCCGGGCCAGTGTGATGGAGGCTGAAAATGATCAGGGCTATGTCAGCTGTGTCCGTTTCAATATATCACAGCCTCTTCGTGTAAATTTGTACATCAATTGAAAGCATCACCATGAAAACAAATGCTGCAAATAGAAGTGGCTAACGAATGCTGGGATTATTATTGAAAATATTCACCCAGCATGCAGATGCTGTGCTTCTCAGGCCTCAAGGCTACTGCAGAAAGAAGCTGCCAACTAATGATGGCCCCTGTAGCATGTGGAAGGTGATGCTTCTTCATCGTCCTGTTTCCACACCAGACATGGTAAGATCCTTCTTGGTATCACTTAGTAGTGAAGCATATGCAGTAACTGAGGTGTAGAATCATGATGTTAAAGGGACAAGAGTCCGTAACTAGAGCACATGATTGATCTGATAAATGTGGCGGCTTTACCCTGACTGTCCAGCATAAAACAAGTTGTTTTAGGGTCTTGATGGAGGTGATGAGCTATAATCCATCCATGGATACTGCATGGCACATTTGAGATCAATCAGCATGCTGTGTGAATGGAATGGAAACATATTTTGGAGTCATGATAGAGGCGATGAGTTATGCTCTGTCCATGAACACCGTATAGCATGAGGTGATAAGCTATGCTCTATTCATGGATACCACATGGCATGTTCGAGATCGATCAGCATGCTGTGTGAATGAAATGGAAACATATTTTGAGGTCATGATAGAGGCGATGAGTTATGCTCCATCCATGAACACTGCATGACATGAGGCGATAAGCTATGCTCCATCCGTGGATACCACACGGCACGTTCGAGATCAATCAGCATGCTGTGTAAATAAAATGTAAACATGTTCGCTTCGAAGCGAACGTTCACCAGGGAATCTCAGGCATTGTTTGCCACTTTACTACCAAGTGTATGCATGCGTGCATTAGCTGTGCCAACTGAATGGAACAGAGCCTCGCCTCCTTGCCCAATAACCCCAAAATGGGCATTTTGGTATCTACTGTATCACCAGGCATTTGATATCACCGTGACGAATGGACGGACGGATCATGACAGATCGATGGAAGCGAGGCAGTGTGGGATCGAAACACCACACCATAGCAGGACCCCTGAAAATCCCTATGGGAGGTCAGTCGGCCGTCCGGACATGAATAGATACTTATGAGGCCCTCGGCCAGTTCTCAGTCTGGACAAGATGATCTCTCAATGTCCAAAAGGCTGGTCAAAAGTTTAGACATTTTCTCTATATGTTTTGTTAGGCCAGTCCTGGAGTCCAGACATAGGTCAAGGGGAGCCGAGGATAACTACTTCAAGCCACAGAACAAATAGGTACAAGCAAAACTAAAGGGGAGGGGCCATCGAAAGGCCGGTCCAATGTCCAGACAGAAATTCTAGGATTTGGAGGCTGGACACACTGAGTGAAACAATCAATAATTTGAGGTGAAAGATGGTAAAAATATTAAAGAAAAAGTTCAAATCTTTCAAGCATCTTCATTGTCAATTTGTTATAAAAGTATTTAAAATATTTTTAACATCTTTTGTTGTGAAAGATGAGGAAAAGATTGAAAGGAGATTGCATGAGATATTAATAATCATTTCTTCAATCATTTAACAATCTTTTATACAAAACTATGATGAAAAGCTTCAAAATCTTTTTTCACTCTTTTTTTGATCAAAGATGATGAAAATATTGTGACTATGTCACATCCTTGTTTTCATATACTAAGCTAGTACTAAGATATGGAGGGTAATACTCAGGTCTATATGTTAACACTATACTAGTGCTATAGTCAGAAGAGTAAGACTAAGATTCTAATGTTAGCAGTATGATAATACTAAGATTTAAATGCTAGTACTATGCTAGCATTCAGCTAGTACCAAAGTCTGAATGCTAGTACTATGCTAGTACTAAGGTTTGTAGTACTATGCTAGTACTAAGATCTGAAGGTTAGTACTAAGCTAGTACTATGCTAGCATCAAGCTAGTACTAAAGTTCAAATGTTTAGTACTATGCTAGCACTATGCTAGTACTAAGGTCTGAAGGCTAGCACTATGCTAGTACTAAGGTCTGGAGGTTAGTACTAAGGTCTCATTGCTAGTACTAGCATAGTACTAGCATAGTACTAACCTTCAGATCTTAGTACTAGCATAGTACTAACCTTCAGATCTTAGTACTAGCATAGTACTAGCCTTCAAACCTTAGTACTAGCATAGTACTAGCATTGTACTAACCTTCAAACCTTAGTACTAGCATAGTACTAGCATTTAAATCTTAGTATTAGCATACTGCTAACATTAGAATCTTAGTCTTACTCTTTTGACTATAGCACTAGTATAGTGTTAACATATAGACCTGAGTATTACCCTCCATATCTTAGTACTAGCTTAGTATATGAAAACAAGGATGTGACATAGTCACAATATTTTCATCATCTTTGATCAAAAAAAGAGTGAAAAAAGATTTTGAAGCTTTTCATCATAGTTTTGTATAAAAGATTGTAAAATGATTGAAGAAATGATTAAATACTTTGGTCACAAATTAACAGTGAAGATGCTTAAAAGATTAGAACTTTTTCTTCAATATTTTTACCATCTTTCACCTCAAATTATTAATTGCTTCACTCAGTGACAGCTATCCAGACATGAACTCCGGAAAAGCTGTCCAGACAGGAAGTCCAAAAATCAGTAATTTTTGGACTGACCTCTAATAGGGATATTCAGAGGTCCTACCGTAGCAACGTGGAGGAAATGAAGTTGCGGTATCTCTGGACTGGATGGATCATGAGACACACATCAAAGCGAGGCAGTGTGAGATCGTTAGATATTCACACAGACTCAACTAGCTCACTCGAAGGTCTTAAAAAGAATTCTCTCTTTACGGTTTTCCATCGCTCCCCAACTCGTCCCCCATCGACAAGTTACTTACTTACGCTTTCTTACTACCACCTCTCGTGAACTTTTTTTGCTGCCATGGATCCTGCTTATCGGAACAAGAGTAAGTGAAGCCTGTCGTTCCTCTTCGTTATCAGTGCTGAGTGTTTCTCGCAGAGATCGTCGACCTGACTAACGAAGAGGCCAGAACTCTCACGTTCTTGGGCCCAAGTGAGCTGCTTTGTCATCACACACATTCATCTCCCACTTATGACTGTCCGTCCACCTTGTATGGTGCGCACCACCTAGTCACTGCTTCTTTTATACAAAAAAATTAACTTCCTCCCAACATGCCCAAAATATTATCTGTCTAGTGAAAATGCTTGTATTTAAGTAGCGATGATTTTGCCCAGACGGATTTTTCTGAAACTCAAAATTGCGAAAGTTGAGACTCTGAAATTGGCCAGTGATGGGAAAATATTACCATATTAGGAAGGTACATTCCATATGTGATAAGTTCACATGCCAAAGATAATTACAGAACATCAAGCTGGTGTGCTACAGTCTCCGGCACACGTTGATGGGATTTATACTTCGTGGAACTAAATGCTCTGACTTGAAACTGAGCATCCTTGGCATCCAATCCAGTCCTGTAAGCATTCAGCCATCGAAACATCTGATGTTCCCATTTGCGGAATTGTCTCCAGACCAACGGAGGTGAGTGCCTTCGGTGGATTCTCTTGAAGGGTCTTGAATGTGCAATCGCAATTGTCGCGCAAATATTTTTTGACAGCACCCCAGAAAAACTCAATAGAATTGAGCTCACAGTGATATTTCGGCAAGAAGATGCACATGTGGCACGCATTTTCAATGACTTCTTAAACCAAGATGCGCTGCTCTTTGAAGTCAGGTTGCAATTCCAGAATGCACTGAGCACAGCAATTGGTTTTGTCTGGGTCACATTTGTCATCGTGGCATTTCATCAAAAGGCCTTTGGCCTAAAGGCCTCGCTCAGCAAGGACATGTTTCATGCCTTTCAGCTGGTCAGGATATTCGGGATGATCGGGTGAGAAATTCATCGGCTGAGTGAATCTTTGACCATTGCGAATGAACCAGCCATCTTGCATGTGGGCTTGTTTACCACCGGGCCACATGTTCATGCGTGAGACAAGGAGTGCATCTTCTGCATATGCAGAATGCCCTTGGGAGTGATCGACGAATATACATGCTTGAAATCCAGGGCCGTGTTTTCTTTCAAATGCTGAGATAATTTTCTCCCTGAGCTGCAAGCGTGTTCAGACTCAGTTTAAGAATGTCTGACGAGTCACTACAGCTTACCTGCTTAACAAATTTCTCACTGTTCCAATACCCTTCGTAGTCTTTCCTGTACTCCAGGCTCTGACTTGCCTCTTCCAGTCATCCAAATGTCGAGCAGATGACATCGCTCTGGTGCATGCCATGACCAACACCTTTTTTCTTCAGCGGCTGTTCTCCTTTGGGTAACCAGCTTCTTGCTCTTCCATCGTTAGCCTGCGCTGTCATCTCGTCTTGAAACACAAGCACCACCTGGTGTTCGACATAATTCCTCCACTCCTTTATCAGCTCTTGTGATACATTCTCGTCAACGTATTACACAACACGGCTCTGAATATGGTCCACGTTTGGTATGAAGAATTCTTGACGGTACTTGACTACATCTGGTCACTCATGTCCATCATAATACAGTGCCTTCTTATGCGCAGTACAGTGAAAGCCCTCTTGATGAAGCCAACGCAGAGTTGTATGAAGTGAGATCCCCTTGCTGACTTTAAGATGGATGCGAGGAAACAACTCAAGTTCCATGTATTTCTTTAACTCTTGCGGCATTTCGGTGTGAACCAATTGACGGAGGTATTGTTCAGCGACCTGAGGAACCATCTGACCCTTGCTGAATTTAGCCAGCTTCTTGGAATTCATGGACCACTTGTTTGATCGCATGAATGAGTGAAGCTGCATGCATATATTTGGATCATCGAGTAGGGTGTAATATTTCACATGCCTGCCTTTCATCGACTCGAGAAGCTCACGACTCTCCAGCCATTTTCGCACCCAAACATGAACCAGTCTTCCACCCCAGTTTGCTGCAAAGCCATGACTCTCTGCTGCGAGCTTCGATGCCTCTGTCCCACTGCACTTGTTATGAATAATCATATGCAGATGACTCTGGATGCAATGAGCTCGGCTTGCCTGCAGACCATTCAAGCCTGCAACAAACTGGTATCGTTTCGAGTCGACAAGCTTCTCAATTGCATTCAAACCCTTCACACGCTCTTTATGGTGTGCTTCCTGTGCATTTGCAGGAACATTGCGCTTTGCACGCTTGTGAGGTGGGGGAGTGACGATATGCATGGATGAAGGTGATCACAGACATGTCCTCAAGGATGTCATGCTGTCTTGGACCTTGCGCGTAGCAGCAGTGAGTGTCTTCTCAGCTTTATCACGTCTGTTGTCATCTGCATGAGAAGCAGAATGGAGGTTGCTACCATCTCGCTTCCCGGTGGCCTCTATCTCTGGGTCGTCTGTATCACTGGCACCTGGCTCATCAGAGAGGTAACCTCTGAATATTTCATCTGAGGCTGGCACGGCTGCTGAATGAATGTCATCATTAGATTCTTCATGATCAGTGCTTCTTGAACTGCACTGTTCATTTCATGATGACTCAGAGAGGTCCATTGCCACCTTAAAGAAATTTCGCATCAGCTTTGCGCCTGCACTGGTGCATTGGCCAACCTCAGCATTTATCATAGCCATTGTGAGTGGTATTCAAATACATACGTCTTTCGCATTGTCTTATCAATTTCTTCTTTTTCATGAGCTTGCTGTTCTTTCTGTCTCTGGGTTTGTGCTGACTGTTTATTGTATCCCAACTTGCAGTTTGACTCAGCCTTCTTCCTTTCCTTTCTTGAATGATGCTTCATCAGAGTTCTGAATGAATCAGATTCTCGCTGCGCAAGGATCCTCTCTGACTCTGCCTGTAGGCTTCTCCATAAATCCTCATCCTCCAGCTCAGACAGATCCCCATCTGCAAATCACTGCTATAGCAGTCTGACTCTGACAGCAAATGGCATACCTCGCCGGTCCAGCTCGTACACTCGGCATCATTGTCTGAGCCTGCCACGTCATCACTGTCACTCAGTGTTGGGTCACTTGAGGTCAATCTCCCAGCGGGTTTGCATGGCCTTTCGAACTCCGCTGTGGCTGAGGTGGCTGAAGGTAGCGTTCACGTTGCGCGAAGTGCTCGGTGGCTTCTGACATGATGAAAGTCATTATAATAAATTTCATACTTTTGTGTAAAGCTAATGGATCTTACGACAATTTGTATGCGTGTGAACTTCAGAGAAATCTGGGCGAGGGGGACATTGACTGCCTACTGTAAAGTCTGAGGTCTCTGACATCTGAATCCACACTGAGATCATGACAAAAAAACTCTGCATTGAATGCCATGCTACAAAACTGCTATCTGAGTTTGCAATATGAAAAAGGGACAGACAGAATGGCAAAAAGGGCGAACCCACAGCAAAATGTCAGACATGCATCGACAAGGAGAATGCACAGAGAAAAGCAAAGAAAAAGCATGTGGACAAGAAAGAAGGTGAAGAGAAAGACGATGAGTGTACCTCAGAACTGGATTCAATGTCACTTGGCGACTTCTTGAAGCATGTCATTGATGAGATGAGCGGCGCCTTCGAGATTGCAGCAAAAATTGACGTTGAAGAGTGATTTCTTTTTGTCATGGCATTGCCGAAATGAGCACGGAAGGTAGCCGAGATGATAGGGGAGCATATAATGCTGCATTGGATGTGAGTACAGCATAGTGTTATGATATTGTTATGAATATATGAACCTTTTTTGCACTCAGATATGAAGGCAAGCGAGATCGGGTTCGCACGAAGGACATGGTATACCACTTCAGCTGCATGCAATCAATTGAGCGTGAGCACAATAAGAAGATATCAAAGAGTGCAAAGCCACGTGCTGCTCGCCAGATGGATCAGTTTCTGTGTGATGGATGGCTGCATCTGACGATAGGCTCGGGCTCATTGGAGATAAAGATCAAAATGAAACATGCTGTGGAGCATGTGGCCTATATTGATATAGATCTGCCTGACAATTGTAAGAAGCATATAAGGTTGCATGCATGCAATCAGACTCCAGGAGAGGTACACACGTAATGGGCATCTAGAACGGCCAAGACAATGGAACTCATGTATCATACTGTGGCAGATCTGGTGGCACATCCTGCGCACGGAACTCCAGGGACAGTCTGCATCTGAAGTAGAGCTCCCATTTCATTCGAAGGCTGTGTATTACTATTGGCACCTCGTTAGCAGGCAGGAATGGAAGAAAGCAGATGACCCACTTGAATCAGCAAGACTGTTCATAGAGAAACATGGCGAGGAGCATAATATCGCATTGCTAGATGTGAAGGCTGCTCCAGGAATGCAAGTGCTCGCATTTCAAGTCAAAGACTTTGTAGCAGAGTGGCGTCGAATACACAGGAGCTTGCTATGGACTCAACCTGTATGCTTATGTCAGACTTTTCCATGCAGAAGCACCCCTTAATGCACCATGGTTACTATAGGGAATACCAATGCTGCGAACTTTGAGCTATTTAGTGCAGTAGCAGATGCGAGGGGGTTCAGCATTCCTCTCGCATTCTTGCTCATGTCAATGAGTGCAGAGGCAAAGGAAGGAGTGAAGGAGGAAGTTTCAAAGAACTTCTTGAAACATCTTAAAGGACTTGGCGTGGATCCTGAGTTCATGCTCACGGACAAGGATTGGTCTGAGATAAACGCGATGCATGCCACATGGTCCAGAGTGAAGCATCAACTATGCTTCTGGCATGCTTTTCGTGCATTGAAGCAGCGCTTGGCGAAGAATAAGGACACACCTGCTTTTTACGATGTCTCCGAGGCACGAAAGGAATTTCCATACATCAAAGCGGACTTCATGCCCTACATGCAATGTAATACTGACCATGTAAGCCTTTTCATCATGGTGTTATTCCATCCATAGATCTCACCTGTGGCCAACAGATTTGCATGCCACCAGAGAAGCCATTGCCTCATGTACGACTGCTGATCAATGGAAGGCCCTTAGTTATCACCCCATCACTGCCAAAAATCATTCTGAAGCGAAGTCAAAAATCAGACAATGCCATGAGCACGAACTCCATTATGGCTTCTGGTGCACTAGAAAGTCCTCCAGAGACATTCGACCTTGATGCTGCTACTTGTCAAGGTTCAAGCATTGAAGATGATTGTGATGATCGAAGCGACGAAGGATCATACTGGGTAGATCGCGTCAAAGACTCCAGCACTGGGGAAGATGGCCAGGATGATTGGTGGGATGACATGGACGATCTCAGATGTCAAGTCGACAAATTTGCCAAAGTGCTCGATAACATTCATGAAGATGTGCCGTGTGAACTGTCTGAAGCAGGGCCGCATACAAAGCAAGCTGACTATGCATTCTGTCCAGCTGTGCATCATCTATCAATCTTGCAGCTATTTGCAAAGCACACATCACAACACCCACTTCTCCCTGAATGACATGGCCAGAAAAGGACGTCAGCAGATATACGAAGAGATGTGGTGAAGGAGATGTGTCTTCATTGTGAGGTCAATAACCTCTGTGAGATATGGGCCTATCTCTGGAACTCATGGTATTCACGATCACGCTGGCCTCTGTGGGCACGATCTGCTTACGGCACAAGCATTCCGTGTAAGCAAACAACTATGATGGTCGAAGCACTGTGGCAAAATCTCAAGTGCCTCATTCTGCATCTCTATAATCGCTCTCCGATTGACCTCGCGGTTCACGCTATCATCACCAAAGCACTACCGCCCTATCGTCTCATGCTCACGCAGATTGTATCAAAACACAGGGAAGGTCATCCACGTGCACTAACCCATATGCAAGAGGTGTTCAAGCGGTCTTGGGAACGCCTTGCGAAGGTGCCGATCAAAGGCTCCTACAATACTAATGTTGAACATTGGACATGCGACTGTGGTGCTCAAAAGTACCATTCATATCTCCTCTGCAAACACCTCGTGCAGGCTGTGAATTCTCTCGTCTCAGTATCTTGGTGGGTTGCCGCTCATCGTTATCACATACCTCCATTCTACACTGTGCCGATTAATGTAGTGATCGCCAAGCCACCTGAGGTGATCACAGACCGTGCGTGGCACTCAAGGATGCTCAATTTGGTGCGGTCAGAGGTGGTCATGACCAGTGATTCAGAAGATGATGAAGCGGATGGAGGAAACTCCTCACCGGTAAGCAAATTGTGGTCATTGCATCTAAGACAGTGCAGGTGTCAACTGAACCATGACTGATTACATTGAGTTCTTCCCCAGGCAAGCCACCTCCAACGGGACGTGATGGCCTTCTGCGAACGTGCACTAGTGGCAATGCCAGTTTTGAGGTATGTCTTGATCAATGATCTGTGTCAGTAAGTTACTCAATACTGCTTATAGCTTGATGACGAAGATGATGTCAAAGTTGACGAAGTCATTCGTCTTCTACGTCGTGCCGCAGACATTCTTGAAGTACAAAGGGGCATTGCAGAGCCACGCTTCATCCTGAATGCCAAGAGAGTCATGCGGTCAACGATGTGATGGGTACAGGATGTTGAAATGCATGAGAACTGTTGCACTATGCCTATTATTAATCCAAATGCACGACAGCGTAGCAAGTCCGTAAACACGATTGGTTACAAATACATTACTGCTTAGGCTAGTTATAATACTAATGTATGCTTTGCACCGGTGGCAAATCACAAAAAAAACTCTTAATGTATACTACATGTTGCTAAACCATCTGAGAAATTTGTGTGATACGAGAGAACGTGCCGTTTGAAGTCCATCACGTCAGAAGCCACCGAGCACTTCGCGCAACGCGAACGCTACCTTCAGCCACCTCAGCCACAGCGGAGTTCGAAAGGCCATGCAAACCCGCTGGGAGATTAACCTCAAGTTGTTGGGTCAGCAACTGAGGATTGTTTAGAACTCCTCAGCCCGTATTCCGATCGTCCCACCACACTGCAGTCTGCCTGGCGACGTCAGCCGACCCTACAGCTGCATCCTGTTTTCCTTGACCCTGCTTTCAATCGTGACACGCAAGCCAGGCTCGTCCAGGCTTTGACCGGCCGGGGCTACCTGGCTCCTTACTTCTCTTCGCTATATGGCACTGGAGGGCCTGCTCGCTACTTTTATGGTGCCCCCTGCCGATGTGACCTAACCACCCCCAGCACCCGGTCGCACACCATGCTGCACTGTCCCATTCACCAACACGCTCGGCACCTGCTTTTCCGGGAACCCAACCCCTCCACCTGGGACCTCCGTCGTCTGTGGGAACACCCTAAGGGACTTGACCGTCTCGCCTCTTCATATCCATCACCACCTCCTTCACCGCGGCGTCACTGGCACCACCGGATCCCGGATAGATACATACTTCGGGCACATTTATGCCAGGCCCCCACCCTCTTAATAGTTTGCGTCTCGATACTTCGTCCCGTGATCCCCTCTTGTATTCCTCCCCTAACCGCACATAGCGCGGTATACAAATACATGTACA